ATAGCTCTCAAGCTAGCGACATAACTAGGATGTACCTAAATGAATGCCTTGCCTAAATTTAATAGATCTATGCTAATCTTTCAAATGCTAAAGATGAGTGAGTCTTTTAAGATGATCATTGATAAGTAGACATTGAATGAGGTGAACATAAAAACAAGTTTGTTTCCTTGGAAACAAGTCGAACAAATTTAAGTGTGATGGTAGTAAATCATCATAATGTAGTGGATGAGCCAAGAAAATAGAGAAAGACAGAGAGTTACAAATCCAATTTGTAGGTGCTAACTAGCTTAGTTGGTATGATATATTCTTTGAAAGTTGGAGCTAAAATATTGGGATCAAATCCATTCCACACCAAATTTTTGCATAGGCACAAAAACATTCATAAAAAAAAAAAAATCCAATGGTAAGGAAAAGCATGGGGAAGAGGGAATATATGGTAGTAATATATATTACACTTAATTCATACTCTATAAAATAATAACTTCAGAAAATTTAACCATGATCATGATCGATTAAAATAATCTATCTAGCAAGATATTTGAACTTGGAAGAAAAAGGATATTGAAAATTAATTATTGCAAGATAATTAAAGGTTAAATTTTCCATTTAATAATCTAAAAAAAATCCCATAAAATTAAAATAAATTTATAAGCAACATAAATATTTATTTTTCAGTGCCCCAATTCGCTCACTTGAGCATCTATGGGGGCACCTAGTGCTTGGGACATTGAGCAGCCATATCACCTTATGTGCCTGGTGCTCTTGAAAAGTTATAGTTGCAGGCTGTAATTGATGAAACAAGAACATAAGAGTTACAACAAAAAAAAAAGTCACAAGGCCCAAAATAAAATATTTTGTAAAGGAAAGCAAAAGAATAATGCTCTCCATGAAACCAATGGAAGAATTCAAAGAAATATTTTTATTGCAGAAGACCACAAAAAGTGCAACTCAATTATTCATGTGCATGATATGCAAAAATTTTAAGGTGAAAGTTAAATGGGGTAGATTAGAAAAGTGCAAATTGCAGTTATGAGTCAAGAGTCTTTCAGGCCTATTGTTTAAAATGACCATTTAGAAAATAAGTGGTAGACTGGATGAAATTGAATTAAACACTGAAATAAAATTTCATTTCCATCATCAAGGCTAAATTCATAAATGGAAACCGAAAGAAACAAATGTTAAAAATGAAGGTTAAAAACAGTAAAACCATTCTGCTACAGAAGAAAGAAAAAAAAAGGCAGTGTCGCAGTAAAGTAGAACTCCTCACCTTGGGAATGGGTACCACACGCACACCCCCAAAACCCCTAGCCCTCACCATTAATTGACTGGTGCCAAAACCAAGTTAGTCATTTTGTTGTTTGATTCGCCTTTGTTTAGCCAACTTATTATATATATCATTTGCCCTCCTTAGTATCTAATTTATTATATAAATCATTAAAAGCTAAAATCTTTGCATTGCATTTTGCTTTCTTAGACTCCTTACGGGCCTCTTTATATCTTTCCCAATTATGAGAGTTTTTAAAGCTAAACCAATTTTTATAACAAATATTCTTATTTTTTATCTTTTCTTAAACATTTTGATTCCACCATCAATTATTTTTACTATTAGTAGTTTTTCCCTTTGATACTTCAATCACATCTTTTGCAACATTTTTAATATCACTAGCTACTTTTACCAACATAACATTAGCTTCCTCATGCACAGACAAAATCTTAAGATATAAAATCTTACTCTCAAAAATACTTTTGTTAATATTTTTCAACCATTAAAAAAGCGGACGAGGCGTCCGCATTGAGTTGCGCCTCAAGTCGAGGCGGAAGTCATGCGTATCAGGGCTTACGACTCAAACCATCCAGCGAAGCGTACGATTTTTTCGCACAAGGCGTACGCATTAGAGCATAATGCCTCGAGGCAGTATGAGGCACTGCCTCGAGGCAGTATGAGGCACCGCCTCGAAATTTTTTCTTCGGTATATATGTAAATACGACGCAGCCAATTCGTGTTTGTGTATTCGCGTATAGGATTAGGGCTTCCTGTGAGAATTGAAAGGCGAACTAGAGGCGAAGCCGTGAGGGAAAGAGACGAAGTCGTGAGTGCAGGAGACGAAGTCAGAAGGAGACGACGCAGGAAACGAATACAAAAGCAATAACGGTTTCGAAAGCAGGAAACGAAGCCGAAGTTGTGAGTGCAGGAAACATTCAGGCCTCGGTTAGGTCGGAAGAGCAGGTGAGCGATGTTGTGGCCTTGACTTTGAGGTGTAGTAAAGAAAGCTTGAGTAACTCCTGATTCGGCTTTCTTTCATTCGTCCGCTCAGTACATGCTCGGTACCGAGCAGGTACAAGCTCGGTACTGCTCAGTACATGCTCGGTACTGCTAGGTACATACTCGGTATCGAGCAAGCACCGCTCGGTACCGAGCAAGTATATGCTCGGTATTGAGCGGTACATGCTCGGTACCACTAGGTACACGCTCGGTATCAAGAAGTATATGCTCGGTACTAAGCGGTACATGCTCGGTACGGAGCGGTACATGCTTGGTACTGAGCGGTACATGCTCGGTACTAAGCGGTACATGCTCGGTACTGGTCGAACCCCGCCAGGGGGCAGCGCCCCCTTGGACCCCGGGCAGACTGGTACATTTTTGTATTCATGTTGTTTTATTATTGGTAATCAGAAATTCGAAAAATACAAAAGGTATCTACAACAGCAATTTGAAAAAGAACAAGAAGAGATTCTAAAAAGATTTGGCGAAAAACTCGAAGAACTGGATGATCTGTACGCACCGCCTCAAGGAAATCAACAACAGATAATTCATCAGGAGCTGAATTCGCAAGTAGGGGAGTCTGATGTAGACAAAGGGGGGGTCAACACAAGTTGAGTTTTTCTTGTAATTTCTTGTCTTGTGTCTTTTTATCTTCCCCCTCTCCTTTTCTTCATTATCTTGTCCTTTCATCTTCCATCTTGTCTTTTGGGCTGCTTGTTGATTTCATATGGGCCTTGGCTATTTTCGGTTGGAGCTTTAGTTGTTGAATTTTTAGTTGGTGCAAGCTCATTAATATCTAGTAGAAGTGTAGCTCATTATGAGCTAATGTTTAGCTCTAAAAAAAAAAAAAGTTTATGTAAGTGATTTTTGGAGATAAAACCTGTGGGTTTGTTGTTTGGAAAAGCTTGCGAGCTTTGTCCATTCCCTCTTCCACCTCCTTCGGAAATCCTGCGGGCTCTTTCCAATCTTCGTCTCGTCTCCTAATCTCTTTCTTCTCTCCATAGTAACAATTCCATTGTATCCTTCTTCTCAAAGTCAGCAAGTTTAGGGTGTCTTTTTTTTGTCGTCATTTTATTTGAGTTGTTTGTAAGAGTCAAGGGTTGTAATGTCATCTTATGTTGAAAGTCAAGTTTGTAAGTCTTTTCTTTATATGATATAAAAAGTGTCTTTTGAGTATTTTTCTGTCTTTATTTTGTTCTTAGAAAGAGCTTCTTTTTGTGATAAAAAATTTGGTTCCCTCTCCCAAATTTTTGATTGCATCACACATTCATTAATTGTTCCAAAGTCAAAGCCACCATGAATGCTTTTAAAATCATCTACCTCTCTACCAACATTTCCATTTAAATCTCCTCCAATAAAAACTCTTTTTTCGAGAGGTATCACTTGTATTAATTCTTCTATATTATTCCAAAATTTTAATTTTAAACACATATACAAACCTACTTGAGGAGCATAAGCACTTATTATATTAATAATCTTAGTTATCTCCAATTCTATTACTTTTTACAACATTATCCTTCAAACTCTTATCTATAATGACAACTACACAATTTCTAGTACAACTCCTACCAGAATACCATAGTTTAAATCCTAAATTATCAATCTCCTTAGTCTTATCTCCAACCCATTTAGTTTACTGAATACAAAGAATATTTATCTTCCTATGGATCATGCTATCTGTAATTCCATTAATTTGCCTGTAAGGGAACCTATATTCCAAATTTATATCATAATTTTAGTTTCATTGACCAACTTCTTTGACACATCCATCCATGATGTGGGAACACTTGCCTATTTAACACTGCACCCGAGTGCCAGTGCAACAGTCCTTGCTCACTTGTCATTGTATTCAGGTCATACAACGCGGCCCTTCTAGGGAACGCCCTAGCATTAACACAATGTATTAAATGATTCATGTCATGATTATTTGACAAATTTTACGATCGCTATCGACTATCTAACGCAACCCACCACTTTTCTCCTCCAGGATTTGGAATCGGGCAACGACAGTGTTTTCTATAAATATTTCTTTTTTTTAGATATTTAACAAAGTAGACTATAAAGCACCAGAAAATCATTTTAGAAATTAAAGAAACCAGACTATAAAGCAACATAAAATGTTTTGATGCATATGGCACCACATTTACACAACACTTGATAACCCACTGATCACCATAAAACTGAATTCTTACAATGACATTTATTAGTGATAAAAATAGTCCAATCTAAGAAAAGAGCCTTAGACACTTAGTAGACAACTTCTTAAGCAATGAATACGCTATGTAAATACAAAATGGGGGGAACAGACTAAAAAATTGTCTACAAACATAAATATTTGCATCCACATTAGAAAGTAACATGCAGCTCGCTGAAGAAAAAGAAGAGCAAGCTAATGAAACCACTCAAGACTTTGTTCAAAAGAAGGCCAAAGGCTAGTGAGAATGATGCATTCAAAGCCCAGATTGAAGGTTTGGGCAATCAAATATGTTAACCATAAATACCTAGACTCACAAAGCTTACGAACCAAATCATAGCAACTACATAGAAGTACATTTTCTATAAGTAAGGAGTGGGCACCTACACTATGATTGCTCAAACTTGCATTCTGGTGGAGAGAAATTGAAAAAAAAAAAAGTTTGTTCTCTCAAGACAGCTACACAAATTTATAAAAATATTAAATTGAAAGAAACACAACCTCAGACGTTTCTTGCAAACAACAAACGGGGGACAAACAAACCTCTGTTTGGTTTTGTAAAGATGCTAGTAAATCCTTTACAGAAGGGTCATTTGGATCAACACCTGGAAGCTGTCAAAAGAAAGTAGATTACGATATGAAACATTATTTATTATAAAATAATAAACATCAACGAATATAAGTTGAGATAAAACCTATACCGAATTGAGAATGGATGAAACAAATGACTGATCCTCTAGCACCTTGCTCATCTCAGACTGATCAGGCGTATCATTAGTATTCTCCTGCACAGACATTTGAAGGGCTGCACATTGCAAACTTGAATGAATTATCACACTGATTCGAACTTACTATGCATGAAATATCTAATATATACGTATCTATGTAGCTCAAATTTATAGGTTAAGAGAAGGTTAAATTTTCAATAAACACAAGAAAGCACCGCCTGCAACAGAAATGCTAACTCAAAAAACAAAAGGAGAAAGTTCTGCAAAAGTTAAAAAGAAAACTTGAATTCATGAGCTATATAAGCTCTTTAGTAAGGAATGACAAAAGATGCTCTTACTCGCCAATTGTTTGATTATAACAGCAGAAATTAATAAAGTTATATATATATATGGGATTACAGCTTTGTTCGACGGCAAAGTTTTTGAAGTCCTAGCCAAGAGAGAGGAATGCCGATAATAAGTACGAGTGGTATTGGTCTAGGGTTGCATTTCATAATTTCCTTTCTCCCCTCAACTTCTACATGGGGATCACTGTGGTGGCCTACCTCCCTCCCTCACGGAAGGGAAAAGCAGGAAGAATGATTATATTCAAACAGTATCTAAACCCCTTATTATAGAAAGGTGGTTGGCCACAAAGCATGCTTCAAGAACAAAGGATAGAAGGGGATTTGCCAAACCAGCATCAAAATACCACACAGACATCAATCTTCAGTGTTACTAATTAATGGTTGCACAAAAATCTTCCAAGGAAAAAGAGAGCCTAAATCAAAGAGTTCGAACAAATGAGAATATTAAGTTGTGTTAAAATTTGAAGTGGGAGAAATGCTGCAAGTTCAACAGTTGAAGAAGAAAGGTAAATCATGAATGCATGAGTTCGTACTTTCTGTATTATCTAATCACAGTATTCGAAACATGTATAAATTTTTACAACAAGAAGTTTATCCTCCCTCCTATTCATGGAATTAAAATAATTGACCATAGTTCAACAAAAGCTCAAACATATTGATGAAGCCCAATAAATCAATTCAATTTAGAAACAAATTCCATAGCAAAATATAAATAGCAAACAACGCAGGTGTACTTTTACCTGAGCACAACTAAACATTTAATCAAGTTGTTACCAAGCAGCTTCATACAAAAACGACTACATCCATCCCTTATAATTTGACAATACAATATGAATATGCAGCAATTTTAAAATGGAGATACAGAAATTAAAGCCCATTTCAAACTTCATTTCTTAAAATTTCCTCTATATTAGCCATGTCCTGATGAAGTTTTATCTACTTAAGCATCCAAAAATATCAAGCCAAAGTCCACATATTCAAAACTGGTAACAAACTATGCAACCGATTAGAAGTAGAGAGGTATAAATGAGTAGAAATGAGCTCAAGCCACCCAACTTGAGCTATGATGTAGTCAGTTGTGAGCCAATCAGATTGATAAATATCTTCCATCACATGCTTGATGATTATCTAGATTTTATTATGTATTTGAGTTTTAAACTTGTTAAGAATTACTTTTTTTAATATTCTCTTTTCATGATGATTAACTTATAATAAGATTAAGGATAGTTCAGCCATTTAGGAGTTGATTGGTTGTAAGAATTAGGGGCATTAAGTGAAAAAAAAAAAGATGAGTCAGAATCTTTTAAGAGTTGGGTATGAAATAAAATTTGATGTGAAGTATTTTTGTAAGTTGGAATTAGCTCAAATGAATCATTTTTTGTGAATTCCAAATTCATCAAAATTAAATGAATTCCAAATAAATTAAGACAGGCCACTACGAGCCTGTCACTGCTGCTGCCACCATCCTAGCTATCATTAACGATCCTAATCCTATCATAGTAGATCCTGTTGCCATGGATGACCCTAGGTCTGTCATCATCGATCAAACCGCAATATGTCGAGCTCATCTTAATGGCTCTCTATCTCAATGATAAATTTGCATAAGCAATCAATCGATCTATGATTTACGAATAGACAAAGGCAAGAGATCAAGACTAAGAGTAGTGCATTGACAGCAAGAAACCTAGAGTGGCTTGCATGAGTGGAGCGTCAAAGATTTTAGTTTTGATATTGTACTCTAATATGCAAATCAAAATAAAATAAAATGATAAATAAATTCTAATTAATATCAATATTTAATATAAATCATAAATCATAAAAATTAAAATAATACACAATACAAGGACTTAATGCTAAACATTATTGCTCATGCATGACGTAAATCGCATGTGCCATTTTCACCCCTCGCATGCATCATACAAATGGCACAGGGGTGCCCAGGGGATCCCAATGTGGTGCTAGATTCCATGACGAGCACAATGTAGTGCTATTGACATCTATGACCGCTACAACTCTTAACTGCCATCAACCGCTGATTGGTGTCTTGACCTCTATTGTTGATCTACCTCTATGTTGGTTGCTCTACTGTTGATTTCCCTTTTTGTCCGTTGCTGCTACTACCCCATTTATGTGTGCTGCTAACACTCCGTTATTTTCCTGTTTTGTAGAATATTGAAGTGTGAAAAGAAACGGATTGCTGTCTAGGGCTGAAAACAGTGAGTGCTTAGTGTCCAGAAAAGGAAGATAGCTAATTATTGCCATCAACAATTCAAAAGAAGAATCCAACAGTGGGCTTTTGCTTTCCAGTAGAAGAAGAATTTAAAATAGAGAGAAAACTTGTTTTCTACAAGCAGAAAGAAAAACAACAAAGGGAAGTTATATATAGCGTAAAGCATTGCCTCAAGTACTATTAATTGATTGATGGATCACAAGAGAACCTCTTGAAAAATTCTTGGAATCTACCCAAATCCATATTAGCCTCTCATTGTGAGCTTACATGATAATGTTGAAAGGTTGGCTACAGACCAAGTTGGCAACAGAGAATCATTTTCTTGATACATGGTTTAAAGAGAAAATAAAGGGAGAGGTAGAGATGCTTCTTCTCTTGGAGATGCATTGCAAGCCAAGAAAGATACAAGAGCATGAAGAAGAAGAAGAAGAAGAAGAAGAAGAAGAAAATCAAGCAATGGCTAGCAAGGATTCTACACTACATCTAACGAATCAGTCGCTATGTTCATAGAGCAGTAACCATGGAATAGATGATGATGCAAACAACTATAGCTGCAACTATTCAGCTTCATATTCCTCATTCTCCTCCTTCATGCTAGATACAAACATGAATGGAGAGATTGAGGATGGGGATATAGCTATTAATCATGAAGAAGGATTTGTTCATTCAAAGTAAAAGATGAAAGTAGAGATCCCTACATATGATGAGATAACTGATGTCAAACAGCTAGATGCATATATTTAGAGACATCACCTTGAAAGGTATACACCAATGATTAGGTCATTTTTGCACAATTGAAGTTAAGTCATTAGGCCTAGCATGGTAGAATGCCCATCTAAAGATGATTGACCTACAGAAGGTGACAAAGAGGATGTTCAAGCAATTTATAGAATGAGAATTCTACCCAATAGAGTATGCGGACAATCATTGGAAAAAGTGGAACTCTTTGCAGCAAGGCCCCGTGTAAGATTACACTATGGATTTTCATTATTAAGAAGCCACTTTAAGAGTAAATCTTAGAGATAGTACAAACTTTAATGAAGTAAATAGGGTTTTATTTGCTAATTGTAAATATACTCCACTTGTAACCAAACCATCAATCTCAATAAGAACAACATGATGATGAAGGTGAAAGGGAAAGAACCAAAGCAAAGGGGAGAAGACTTGAAAAACAACCAAATAGAGGTCCTCTTCCTCCAAAGAAAGAAGGAAAAGACTACTACTGGATCTTCCTCAAACAAAACCAATGGATTCAGGAAGTTCTGTGCCAATTGTCTAAACCTAGCAACAGAAAAGAAAAATATTGGAAATCGTACCCTAAACTATTCCCCAAAAAAATGGAAGACAGAAAAGAAAAAAACTATGCTTGTGGTGGACAACACCATGATGAGTTCAAATGGACAAAGTGAACCTATCTCTATCTGAAAAGAGCAATAAAGCAAGAGCTGTCAAAAGTGGAATAACCTTAATTAAGAGAGACACCCTCTTGTTGATTCAAGTAAAAATGGATGTGAAAAAAACCATTACCTTAGCAAGATCAAAAAAGGGAAGAAGCATTACCATAACAAGTCAAACCAAATAGTACACTCAAGGTATGACTTAGGACATTTGTAAAAAACTACTTAAGAATACTATCCAAGCACAATGAATTAAAATATTCTAAGAACTTCCAAAACCATCAATTGCTATACACCACAAAGTGGTAAAATTTGAAATCTAGAAAGGCAGTCTTCCCCCACAAGAAGTTAATGATTTTACAAGAGTGAAAACCTCCTAAATGAGGGATCCGTGATTTGAGGATCAAATCAGGAAGGGAAGGATTAATGTGAAGAAGTATTTATCATGATTTGGACATCAGATTGACTAAAACATAAGAAAGATTGAGTTCGTTGAAATTTTAATGGTCTAATTTCTTCCTGAGAATTGCCAAAGGAGGTAATTGCCTAATTACAGCATTGAGATAAAAAAGGTATATTGTCTAGTGTCCATATGTTTGATTGAATCGTCAATAAAACATTATCGTACAAAAGGAGATCAAGGCTCTGAATGCTAGACAATTGGATCCAATTCCAGATTATAGCAAGTGCAAAATTTGTATTTAAAACTATTTGGGCAAGTTAGTACTTAAATGTAAATTAAGTTTAGTTAATTCCAGTCGGAATTATTGTTTAGTTTGATCTTATTTATAGGGTTTTCCTCTATTAGTGGAGTTTAATTAGGTTCGTATTAGATCAAATCCCTTTGTAATTGCCTATTTGCGATAGTCTTTGAAAATTGGACATTCTACCAAATAAACTCATGTCCTCTTCTTCTCCTCTATCTCCGCTACTTACTGTATAGCATAAGCCACAGCTTCCTTGCTGCTACAGAATCCGGCAGTGTAGAGCATAGCCGAAGACTCTTGCTGCTGCATTGTTTCTCCCTATAGCTACAGCTGTTATTGCTACTAAACAGCTGCCACCTGCTGCTGATTGTTGTCTTGATCTATGACGTTGCTCTCCCTCTATGTAGATTTCCATTGTAGCCCTTTCTGTGAATGGCTACTGCTTCGCTGAGAAAATTGAAGTTGAAACAACAACTATTTGCTTTTCAGGACTAAAAAACAGCAAGAGTACTTGTCTAGCAATGAAAAACGGCATAAGCAATCTGGAAGAAGAATTCCTCGGTTGGCTTTCTGTCAGGTGAAAAAAGACTTAAGAACAGAGAAAACTTGCTGTCCACAGCAAGTAGGAAGATAAAACAGTGAAGGAAAGTTTAATACAGTGTGAACAGGGCTCACAGTACTTTTAATTAATTAATAGATAAAAAGGGACATCCAAAATTTTTTTTCTTGAAACCTTTCCGGAACAATTTTAACCTCTCATTGTAAGCTTCCAGAATAACATTGAGAGATTGCGTACTAATCAATAAGCATACATATACTTTTTAAAACAAATTAGCCAAATAGATAACACAAATAGAAAACACTTCACCTCTACATAAACAAATAATCCATCTATAAAACAATCCGTTTAACAAAGCAAAATGTGGTGATATTAGATAGTACTTCTCCATGCACAATCAAATCATCCATGTACACAAGAAATTTTGGATTTCCTTTTGTTATCTCTTAACCATTCTGAGTTTCAGAAACATAATAAACTTCTAAAAGGCTCCCATAATCAAAATAAACATACAAAATAAGGTCTTGCTGAGTAAAATTATTGTAAGAACAAATGAAAATTTCCTAGAGATTGGTAATAACAGTCTTTCTTGCAATGCCAATGAGTACATTATGTTTAATAAATTCTGCTTCGACTAGCAGTGAAGATATCCAAGGATCGTCTTTTGCAAGAAAATGCTCTCCCACTCCAGTGAGATATATAATGGCATGCAAGCCGTAAAGGATGAGTTGCATAACCGTGTGATGTCTTTGAGAACCAAGCAGAACAAAAGCACAAACCATGTCATAAAATTTACATTTAATTAAATGCAAAACTAACCAAAAGCTAAGTCCTGGTCTGCAGTGGCATCCACCATATTAGTATCGGCTACAGCTTCACTGTCAGGCCTTGCATCATCCATGGACATCGCAAGAGCCTGTTGTAGCAAGGCAGTCTCATCATCCTGCCAACATTACCCATTAGAGAAATTTAATTCTCTAATATCACGATGCCTTCTAAAAATAGTATTATGTTAGCACTAAAAACATTAAAACAAAATCTATGTCATCTCTTAAGAGCATAAACTTCTTAAAGCGGTACTTACAAACAAGTTTATCAAGCCTACCAGCATTTTAAAAGCGGTTTAAAGTGGAGAGTAACCTCAAATTGCTTCGCCTATTCAGCATTCTTGGTCCTATACTTTATTTGGGAGCCATTCTTAAGGAAGTTGTATTACTCTACTCAGAAAGACTAGGCTCACATAAAGATGAATGATTCTAGGAGATTTTTTTTAGTCATAGACAAAATGAAATGATAAATAAGAATACTACATATCTGATAGGAAAAGTAACATATCATAGAGCATTCCATGCCAGTATATAAAAGGTTTAAGAAGTTAGAACAGTAATCTTGCTTCGATAATGTCAATTGCAATAGTGTATACAAAGTTCAACAACAAGATATAAACTAATCAGACTTGGCCGAGTTGCTAACAGATAATATAAGCACAATTCATGAGTAGAAATATAAAAAAAAATTTGCTCAAGGCTCTCAAAATAAAAAAGAAAAGAAAAGAAAACATCCATGTTATTTAGTAAAAAATCAGACCAAGCCTTTTTCCACTATCAATTATCAAGGGAAAGGTTATACATCCTGAATTTAACAAGGTGAAGCTTCTAGTACAGATCCTTATATCCACTGCATATAGTCCCTATCAATATGTTTTGTATGCTCTCCTTTAATTTCTTATCTTGAAGATGTATCACCCATAAAAATGCAGCCACGAAATCAAACATGCTTTTACATTGACTAGACACCCAAGGAATGCACTATTGTTCTCAAACATCGGTATAGTTGCTGCTTTGGCAGCTTATGGTAGTAAGCATTATATATGTCAATGAAGCGCACCATGACGCACGGCACGGCACAGCGTGCTGCACATACGATGTTATTTGCTTGGCATGGCGTCATGATAGCACGCTGTTTGCGCTATGCATGGACAACGCGCTTAGCGCAAATAATGTGCGCAATTTTGTTAACATGTTCTAAATTTCAAATTATAAATAATAATTTATTTTTTTAAGATTTATCTTAATAAAACAATTAATTATTAAACATAAAATTAATAAAATATCAAAAAATTTAACTTTTTGTAGGATTCAAAGCTATCATTTTTCCTATTTGGCATGATTTAAGCTAAATTATGCTTAAATCCTACTCAAATCTATTGAAATAAGTTTTTGTAGGATTTAAAGTTGTCATTTTTCCAGTTTGGCAATATTGATGCTTAAATTTTGCTTAAATCTATATATATATATGTGTGTGTGTGTGTAATTATTTTATATTGTGAGTTATATTTAAAATGGTGCGCGCCGTGCTATGCGCCATGGCTCAAGGGGGAACTTAGCACCGTGGTATGCCATGGCTCCGGGAGGAGCTTAGTACTGTGGTGCACCATTCACCGTTGACAAGTTTAGTAAGCTTACCAAGTCCCTACATCCTAAACCCCGACCATCATGAAAGAAGATCAGGAATTGGGAGAGGACATAGTAGTCCAGCTGCACGTCAGCAGAAAAGTAATACTAAGAGGGAGCTTTGAGAAAAAAGAATAAGCCATAATCTAATAAAACAACTACAAGATATCTAACCAAATTTTTTTAATCCAAACTCCAATTTGGTGAGGCAAAAATTGGAGACGGGTAAAGGAAACTAAATGAAAACAAACCTACATATAAGCTTCTTTCTATTGCCTTTCTTTCACCACAATTTATTTTAAGGCAAATATAGCCAACCATGTGTGATGATAGAACTACCTCTTAATAAAAGTAGTGCATAAATTATAAGGAAAATGTTTCCAACCAAACCACATTTGCCAAATGATCGAGGAAATATCCCATGAAGGCTTGGAGGGTGGCAAAAGAATTCATAAAAGGTATAATATACCTGATTTCAAAATATAATAATAATAAAACACAATAAAAGATGCACCCAAGAACCAAGTTCAGTTCATTAGGAGATGTGTTTTTTCTCTTCACAAAATGGCATGGCACAAGGAAAAGTATTTGGGAGCCATGAACTAGAAAATCAGTTCATAAAAGCTTTTTTACCTTTTCATCATGGAGGTATTTCATGATGCTCAAGGAAAAGTATGAAACCACTAAAATATTTTGCTACTTTGTTACAAGATCCATGAATCAAATATTATATCAATGATATTTCTCTCCAATAATTTGCTTTTCCTATCTAGGAGGCCCTCAAGAAAACTTTGCAAGTTTAACCTTGGAAGAAGTTTCAAGGTGGGGGGGTAGTAAGGGAGAGGGGGACAGAGAGAGGACATCAATTCAAGAAGAGAGAATCAAGGAAATTACCCAAAATTCACTCCACACTTCCTAAAAAGCTGACCGCCATCCATATAGAGATCCAATGGAATGTTTCCTAAATTTAAGCTATTGTTATCTTCATTTCCTCATTTTAAGCATTGAGATAACGTAAATTTCATTCTAAGCTCCAGTAAGTTCATTTCCACATTTTAAGCATTTGAAATTGATGTTTCCTTCAATATTTTTGTAGTTTGCATCACTTGATCTCTCATCAAAGAATTTTCTGGAATTCCACAAAGTTCTCAATTTAAAAAAAAAAAATTCAACAAATTGTTAACCATACCTAATCAATATTTCACAAATCGAAGAATTCTTTATAAAGTTTAAAAATATATATATATATATTCTTTATAAAGTTGGAGATGCATATAAGGAGTTGGTTCTGAGCACCAACAACAGCATAACAATCCACCCTTTAATTATTAAAAAATAAATAATAAGATACATGCAAACTAACTTGAGGCATAAAAAGATACGGGTGTCAAACATGCCGTCAAATCATGTCTTCTATCATCTTTGCTAGGGGTAGAAGTGTTGATTGGTTCAGCCATCATTACATTGTCTCCTAAATCCTGACCATTAGCTTTTTCTTGTTTAGCAGCATCCTCAGCTGCCTTTTTCGCAGCTGCATCTTGCCTAGCTCTCTCCTCTTCCATTGAAATAGGACATCAATTCAAGGAGAGAGTATCAAGGAAATTACCCAAATTCCACTGCACACTTCCTAAACAGCTGACCGCCTTCCATAAAGAGATCCTATGGAATGTTTCCTAAATTTAAGCTATTGTTATCTTCATTTCCTCATTTTAAGCATTGACATAACGTAAATTTCATTCTAAGCTCCAGTAAGTTCATTTCCCCATTTTAAGCATTTGAAATTAATCTTTCCTTCAATATTTTTGTAGTTTGCATCACCTGATCTCTAATCAAAGAATTTTATAGATTTCCACAAAGATCTCTATTTAAAAAAAAAAAAAAACTTCAACAAATTGTTAACCATACCTAATCCATATTTTACAAATTGAAGAATTCTTTATAAAGTTGGAGATCCATAAAAGGAGTTGGTTTTGAGGACCAATACCAGCATAACAATCCACCCTTTAATTATTACAAAATAAATAATAAGATACATGCAAACTAACTTGAGGCATAAAAAGATAAGGTTGTCAAACATACCGTTAAATCATGTCTTCTATCATCTTTGCTAGGGGTAGAAGTGTTGACTGGCTCAACCATCATAGAAGTGTTGACGGGCTCGACCATCATAACACCATTTTCTAAATCCTCACCATTAGCTTTTTCTTGTTTGGCAGCATCCTCAGCTGCCTTTTTAGCAGCTGCTTCTTGCCTAGCCCTCTCCTCTTCCATTGAAACTCTTAGTGCAAGAGCTAGTTCAGGATCTAGATTAGGATCCACACCAAACTCAAATCCAGACAAGCCACCAGCAGCAGCCGCCGCCGCAGCCGCCGCAAAACCACTTCCTCCATCACCATCACCCGTAAAGATTGGTGTGCTACAGATGATCAATATTTAGAATATGGTTCTGATATGTCGTAAATAAATGTTACAAAAACCATGGATACTTCAATATACCTTAATAGTGCATCTGAGAGAGCAGCTGGACCGGGAGGAATATTAACTATGTGACTATTGCCATTTTTATTAACTGCTGCAACAAGTGCCCCCAACTTCTCAGATTTTCCATCATCAGATTCCCCAAAATCAACAACATCAAGGGCAACACTATTTTTCTTCAATGTTTTGCCAATAGCCTCCAGCAACTTCTTCTCATGCTTAATTGGACTACAATGCACAAAAGAAAACAAGAAATTTTCTAAATTTTGAACAAACTTGTAATGAACAAATTGCTTATTTATTACCTTCCAACAAAAACTATGATCCTCTGTTGTTGATTTTTGTTTTGGCGATGTTTGAGAGCCAATTGAGCAACCTGGATTCCTGACACCAGATTTAACTCACCTCCAATCTCCAAACCTAAAATCATAAAATAGAACACTAGGTCAAATACACATGATAGCTTTTAAGTGTCCACCATTCTAGAGTTAAGAGATGAATTAGTGATTTGCGTATCAGTAAGTAGTGCTGAAAGGACTATGGTGGAACTTCAGGGAGGAACACAAGGGAAGCTTTAGGTGTGAGAGAAGTAAAGTTTGCATTGAAACTTGAGCCCCAAAATGCCATAAAAAGGAACCTCGCTAGATAATCCAATTTATACTGTCATCTCCGCAATGATTTATAAAAGAACAAATGAAGTAAACACACTAATCATTCAACCTAATACTCTTCATAAACTCAATTATTTTATTAATAAGAGGATGCTTTAGATTTTTTCCACAATAGCATGCCAACAACCATGTGAATCCATCATGCCTTTCAAAATGCACCACCAAAATCAGGTTTGTTAACCTTGTTGACATATTGATGTCATCTTATCAAGAAAACGGCTGCTCTTATTTGTTTCACCCACATACCAGGATTGTGGAACCTAGATGTCAGTCAAATTAGCCACAGCAGCCTTCTTGAACTTAAAGAAATGAGAAAAATAAATAAATAAATACATAATTAATTATTGATTATTCCGGATAACACTGCAACCTATACAGCCCATGTTATAGACAAAGCAGCCCATAAGAAATAAAGATAGAGATAATGTCAACTAAGAATGAAAGAGAATAGGCCGTCCAATAAAAGAGCTTACCATGCATACAGGCCAAGATCTTCCCAAGATCACTAGTTGGAGTGACTAAAACGCGTACCCCTTTAGCACCCATAGTCAGCAAGCCAACAGTATTTTCCGGATTCGACTGAAACAATAACCAAATCTCGAGTAATTTAACATGAAGCAGGGGTGAATACCAAAAACTAGAAGATCCTAAATAAAAATACAACAAAGGCCAATCCACGAAATTAATTAAAATAAAAGAAGCAAAGAAGAAGCGAACGAAACCCTAAGAACCTGAAATTCTTAACTTGTCAATTACCTGAGTTTTACACCCGCAGACGAGATTTATAGCGTCGGCTTGAGCCTGGAATCGAGTTGGAGCGTAGTCGCCATTCCTCATCCACTCCGAATTGTCGATACAGATCATGGTAGCCTACGAGAACAGGATAAGGTTAAAACAAAACCCTAGCTATAAATCTATGGCTGAAATCATGGCGAGACTCCAAAACTACCGCTATTCAAAGAGAAAAGCTTGATAGACTGAAAATTATTTCTTAATCGTGGAGTATTCAAGTTCAGACCTCAAGAACCATGGTGACAAGGCGAGGCGCTCGAGCCTAGGCGAGTCGAAAACACAGAGGTGAACAGCTTAGGACGAAGACGAAGGCAAAATGTGATCAGTCAATAATAAAACCTCACAGTGATGCACTCAAATTTGTAACCATCATCTATTCAATATTAGCGCTATCATATTGATAGCTATTTAAGTTTCAATGCATTCATCACTTGTTATTGTAGGTTATAATAGAGAGAAGATTATAGAGTAATCATGGAAAGCATATCTACGGTTATAATAGAAAGATGATTATAGAGTAATCGTGGAAAGCATATCTACTAATTAATTTATAATAGGAATTTTAAATTTTACTCACACACTAAGTCCCAAATTATAAACATTATAGGACCATAGTTCATTAACTTATGTTGAACATGATTAATGATGAAAAAAAAAGAGGGATACCTCATGTAAAACCTAGAAAGTTAGAGTACCATTCAAACCATTTTGACCTGATCAGATTCAAAGTAATCTGTTAAATTTCTGCATTTAAACCCTTTTGCATGTTGCTAAGAATGTTGTGTTCATGTGAGAATTTGAATGAGTTCTAAAATGGACCTCGAGGATCTGTTTGCATATTTGAAAAGTTTGAAATTTTTCCTCAAGGACACTGCATCGTTAAGATTGGTAGCACTTCGGCAACAATGCTTTCAAAAACTTTGGATAATAATTCAGCATAGTTAGGCTATATGTGGCACTATGGGCTCTTTGAGGGAGCGTCGTGATGAGGCCACAATGCTAGGCCAAATTTTAAATAAAAAAAATTATTTCACTAAAAAATCAAATTCATTTTCTCCTAAGGGCTGAGGGCTAGAGAGAGAGAGAGAGAGAGAGAGAGGGAGAGAATTCTAGTGGGAGAAAATCAGATTTGGGCTACTTCAGGTTATTTTTTAGCTAATAGCCCAGTTCTAAAAATTGATTGGATTGAGGTTGGTGATATTAAATGCACATTATGGTGCTTATGGGTATGTTCTAGTGGTATATGCATATTTTATTAAAAGATTTCATTGAATTCTATCTATTGAGAGGCATACTGGTGAGAATTATCTGAATTTTGTTTGATATAAAATGCTTGAATATTTATTTTTCCAATTTTATTAATATTTTTTTACTATTATGCTCAGCATGGAGATTTATTATATTACTTTTAGCACTCATTTAAATACTTAATAATGAATTCATTTGAAAATTTAGATTGGTAAACATGGCATGTTGAGTTGTGTTGACTCACAGTTATTTAGCCTTCTTTTTTTAGGGTCTAAGAAAGGGAATGGTTAGTTGAGTAGTAGTGTTAAGATCTAATCTCTGATTGAGAGGTATACTGGTGAGAATTCTCTGAATTTTGTTTGATATAAAATGCTTGAATATTTATTTTTCCAATCTTATTAAAATTTTTTTTACTATTATGCTCAGCATGGAGATTTATTATATTACTTTTAGCACTCATTTAAATACTTAATAATGAATTCATTTGAAAATTTAGATTGGTAAACATGGCATGTTGAGTTGTGTTGGCTCACAGTTATTTAGCCTTCTTTTTTTAGGGTCTAAGAAAGGGAATGGTTAGTTGAGTAGTAGTGTTAAGATCTAATCTAAGTTTATAGATATATTTCTTTCTTTTATTTTTTGTATAGTCATGACTAGTTAATTTTATTGTTCTATTCTGCAGCCTAGTTTGTAGCCATCTATTATAATTGTATATTCATTTTAATGATAAAATTAAAAAAAAAACATTATGAATGACTTTATTTTCATTGCATTGGATATTGTTAGTAGCTCGGTGATTATTATTTACTTTAAAGTTTAAAGATAAATATTTAGATGAAAATTCTAAAAAGTTTTCAAAACTTAGATCTTGGTGTTCTCCTATTGCAAACTAACATGATAGGTCATGTACAATATGTGGGTCATATTAGGTTGGGTTGTGACACTTCATGTTTGACATTGTAAGAATACTAAATTTGAAATTGTTGAATTTTCTCTAGTCACTGGATTAGGGGTTGGAGAATTTTCATCTAAGGAGGAATTAAAAGAAAAAGGCACAATTAGTAGGATGATTGATAACTTCTTAAACATAGATAATAAATTTAAGAATACATAACTAAAAAAAAAAAATACTTATGATGCACTCTAAGAGGGATGATGTAGATGGTGTTCTACTTAACCATAATAAATACAATGTTATTTTAACTAAGATGATGCTTGCCTTGATTGAGAATGAGGCAACATTTTTTTGGGTATCCATGGGTTAGGCTATTATGGGAAGGACTTTAAAAAAGCTATGAGGAAACTAGCTAAAAAAAAAAGGCCCCCACCCAATACACTATTATTAGATATGCTATATCATTATAGTACTAGGATATGAAATCAACTCATAGTTGGCAAGAAAATAAACAAAGCGGCTTATGTAAAGTGCACCTAGGATGTTGGGTTGGAAGAGAAACAAGGTATTTACAAGCAAATCTATTTTATCATTATTAAAGAAGTAAATCTTGTTTAAAGTTTGCATTTTAAGTGTTAGTTTATGTTAATGATTATTATAAATCAATAATCATTGCCATTTTTATTGTTTTTGTAGGTTATTGTTAATCATGCACTAGTGCATATAATTGATAAAGAGAACTTTTATTAGTCCATTTTACATACTTTCTCTTAAAATATTCTAATTAGGGCTATGAACAAGAGTGTGACTGCCATATATTTTCTAGGCAAGGGTAGTGGTCACACTGAGAAAAAAGTAAGAGAGGGAATTGAAAAATAACCAACTATTAGTCAATTCACGTCCTTCTCTAATTAGTTGAAATAGCTTTCTATGTTGTTAGGGGATAAAGAACAACCAACTCATTTTAGAGAATAATTAATTGAGATTAGAAGACAAATATAATACTTAGTTTTATAGAGAAAGGTGAAGGGAAATAATGGTAAAGATTGTGTCCCACGACAAGAGAGTATAAGGGGAATGTCCTTGCTAATGACTAACCCACTTATGTTGACGTTGAAGATGATGTGGTGAAACAAAATAAAGATAGCAGAGAGGTTATCATTGTTGATTATATTATTCCTTTAAAGTGGTGTAAATGTAAGTAATAATTAGCCAATATCTTTACATTACATATAAAAAATGGTGTGTAGGAGGTGGTAGATGTTAGTTAATATATGTCCATTACACATAGAGATGATGTAAAGTTAATAGATTATAAAAGAAAAAAATAAATAATAAGAATCATTCAATTGAAGATTTCATATATCTATCAAGCAATAGGCGCAGGTAAATTGATACATGGGCCACTGATCCCATCCATTTGATTGATAAAGAGTAGTTGAATTTATTCAAGACTTGGTTAGTAAGATTATATGGTAACATGAGAGAGAGAGAGAGAGAGAGAGAGAGAGAGAGAGAGAGGGCAATGGAAGCGTTGTGTGATTTATATAGTTAAATATACTCACAATATGGCTAGATAATAAGTTACATATTCAATTAGTATATTAATTCAATAGACTGTGTACCATGCAATTATATTATATTGCTCATTGTTATTTTAATAATTTTTATAGCACATAAATACTTTATGTTATCTGATAAGAGGGTGGATATGGGCCTACCCAAAGACTTACAAAGTAGGCATTTTTATCTTATATTGATTATGTGGTCAATGATTCCTCAAGCTTCCATAAGGTAAGCTACTTAAAAATTTAATAATAATTTATGTACTACTTACTTAACTAAACTAATGAGCACTCTATGTCTTAATTATTTGCAGTAAAGACTCTCAATTATATATAATACAATACATCATCTACCTAATTCCAAAGGAAGATCTTCTGGAAGTTGCACTTAATAAGATATCATTTTATGTAAATAGGCTATGTATAGATTTATTTTACAATAATATAGATTCATAGGTCCACAAAGGGATAACAAGAAGAGATGTTCATTTAATTGATTTTTTATATATCCATTTAGTTTTGTAAGTGATGTGCATTTAATTCATTTTATGTATTCATTCATTCTATAAATGATGTACATTACATGTTGTGACAAAGTTTAATTATCTTTGTGTGATTGTTGTTTTGATTGCACTCTAATGTATTAACATTCATTTTTTATTTGTGATTGTCATTGCCATTATACTTTGCTTTATCAAAGTTCATGTATGCTATGTGATTACTATTGTAATTATAATTAGTTGTATTACTATTCAATTCTATTGTGTTATGACCTGTATGAATCATGCTTAAACCTTGTTTGAAAAAAATAACAGAATTATGCTCAAATCTTACAAATCTTGCTTAAACTTTGCTCGAATATTTCTCAAACTAAGATGGAACCATATTAAAACCTTGCTCAAAGACCCTTCTTTGATCATGTTTGGCACTTTTTTGAAAAACATTTGAACCAAGTTTGAGCGACAATTGAACAATGGTTTGAACTTAATTAGGTCATGATGGACTTCAATTAGTCTATGAATACAAGAGGGACGCTTTGATTTATAATAATCTTTCAAACATATTTCTATAAATATTAAAAAAATCATGCATATTTGACCAATTACATGTATTATGAATCATATATTCCCTTTTTAGGGAAAGTAACTTTTAATAAACTAAAAATGAACTAAGTCTGAGAAATTTGAAGTGCTTTAATAAGTGGTAAGCCTATAATTTCAATCATATAAGGAGTTCCTAAGGCCTTGGGCTAGTGTAAATTTCATATATTATCCAATAAAATGTAATAGATTTTTTTTTCAGATAATATGTAAGATCTCATTACTTACAAAAAATATAATGTTATATGACTGTGACTCCTCTTACATCATATCATAGACCTTGCATGCAATGATAAAGTATTTTATAAATACTTATCTAATTTTAAACTTGTTAGGGTTTTTTAACTATAGGTAGAAATTCTCTCTTCTAAATCTCCTTGAAAGTGGAGGAGAGTCAACATAAATGAGATTCCTCAGGTTTCCATAAGGTAAACTACTTGATAATTTAATAAGAATTTATGTAATACTTACATAACTAAACTAATGAGCAATCTGTCTTATTTGCAGTGAAGACTCTT